ACACATGCTAAAGTTATTTTACAGGAATTTCAATTAAATTTAGTTTGAAATTACATTTTTGAGTTTAATTTACCATAGCAATAATAAAAAGTAGATAAAATAATTTTAAATGCTTTAATCGTGTTTCAATGACTTTAAGCCTATCCGCCTTCGAAGGCCAATTACAACAAAAATAGGCTGATTAAGAAGCTATGGAAACTCCTTTTTGTATTTTTAAATTGAAGTTGAATGTTTGAGTTAATCCTACTAAAAACTAAAGTTCCAACTTTCAAGCCCTTTTTGAGCAACTTTATGTAATTTCAGACAGCTGAGTTATTTTTTTTATTAAAACAACATTCAAAACATTTATGTCACAAAAAAAGACTGCAAAATACCTACTACGAAAAAAGATATGAATTTTTGAAACTTCGCTGACAGAAATCATTAAAAATACACAAAAAAAATTTTGTGTGTCAGCTCCGACGCACGACCGGAGTTTACACTCTAAAAACGATTGTCTTTGAACAGACACAAAACAAAATCAAGTCCGAAGAAGTCGGTTACAAGTAGAGATACCTCAGGAATCGTCCCATGGTTTCGACTATCATAGGTTCCATGTCACACATTTTATCATCTAACATCAGCGATATTCATCATATTTCTGGAAACACACAATTTCAAAAATATCACACACTAGTCATCATTTTGTGAATAATGTATTATAATCCCATCTGTACTGAAAATCACTATTCCAGAGTACTGGACACACTGGACCGGCATTTCTCTATATTCTGTTATTTATTTGATTTCATTAATTTTGCAGACATTTGTGACAACTTAATGTTTTTTATCCGTTGCCATGTCTAAAAGTGAAAGGTGCGCAGATGAGGTTGCGCACAAAAACGTAACGAGGTCATTAATGTCATTTATCGATAGATTTTACTCCTCACATTTTTCTCATACCGGGCCCCTTATATATGCAAATCGATTCTTAAGGAGTAAACGAGTAATATTTTTTTGGAAAAAATATTACTCGAAAACTAAGAAAAATCGCGGAACATACATGGGATATTTTCGGACACCCCCAGGTGCGGGGAAACTAAAAATTTCTTGACGGGACTAGTTGGACCATCCTGTATAAAATATCAAACCTTAATAGTTGTCAGTCCATCGCTTAGAGCGATTGATTGTCATAACATTACAAAAAAGATAATCTATGGTCAATCAAATTAATATGAAATAGACATTTACATGTGCATGCCATTATGATCCTTATGGTGTTCCTTTTGGTATATTTTTATTCCTTTCTATGGGTGCGGCCAGAGTGCACTCAGATTCAGATTCAGATTCCGAAAACAAGCGCGAGAAATAAACAGTGTAGTAGACTACAGGTTGCCTGCTTTTAAAAAGTCAATCAAAACAATCAATTCGCTTGATTTCTGAGTCTGAATCTGAATCAGGAGTGCACTCTGGCCGTACCCTTCGACTACACTGTTTATTTCTCGCGCTTGTTTTCAGAATTTGAATCTGAATCTGAATCTGAGTGCACTCTGGCCGCACCCTCTGAATCTGAATCTGAATCAGGAGTGCACTCTGGCCGTACCCTTCGACTACACTGTTTATTTCTCGCGCTTGTTTTCAGAATTTGAATCTGAATCTGAATCTGAGTGCACTCTGGCCGCACCCTCTGAATCTGAATCTGAATCAGGAGTGCACTCTGGCCGTACCCGTACCCTATGTTATGGTGGTAAACATTTTATGACAGCACAGACTCAGAAAACAAAGCGCGAGAAAAAGCAGGCAACCTGCTTAGACTACACTGTTTATTTCTCGCGCTTGTTTTCAGAATCTGAATCTGAATCTGAATCAGGAGTGCACTCTGGCCGTACCCTTCGACTACACTGTTTATTTCTCGCGCTTGTCTTCGGAATCTGAATCTGAATCTGAGTGCACTCTGGCCGAAGGGTACGGCCGAAGGGTACGGCCAGAGGGTACAGCCAGAGTGCACTCAGATTCAGATTCAGATTCCGAAAACAAGCGCGAGAAATAAACATTGTAGTAGACTACAGGTTGCCTGCTTTTAAAAAGTCAATCAAAACAATCAATATAGGTAACATGCTCAACTCACCGTGTACTCTTTACAGCACAAGTACCATGAAAAATATAATTAATTAATAGTATTATTCTATCAAATACAAATTTCATATATATGACTATGCACATTCTTACCAGTTGTTGTATATGGGTAGTAATTCCATGCCTTTTCAGTGACATAAAATACTTTGGGGATTAGTGATTGTAGCCAATAAGGTAAATGGCTGCAAATAAACAGGAACATTATTTGATAAAAAATTAATATTCCACATTACTATTGCAATGTGCCAAAACAGCCATCTTATAGTAATACTATGTAACTAGTAATACATATGAGAATTATGTGCTTTTAACTAAAAACCTTGAAAGATGGATTCTCTTCTCAGTATGTTGGCCATGTCCATATATTTGATCCACTACTTGCTCATTTACTACAACCTCAACACCTTCACCATTGCTAGATTGCTCAAAACTATGACGAGCTATCATGTAAATTTGGCCACTTTGGTACTGCAAATTTAATTAGATTAGAAAATTACAGATAAAATTGCAATTTCATAAAGAAATGAAAGGCTAAATCATTAAGCCATAACATATATAACGGTGCATGAGATAATTAGAATACACTCGCCTCAGAGAATAATAAATCCCTATCGTTGGATATGGGGCCGTTGGACAATAATTGTTATAGACGGTGGGCAGAAAAACTGTCATCATTGTGTTCAGGCAACTCTTAGGTGGTAGAACGCTCATATCTAACCAATTCAGTGGAGCGTGTCGTCAACCCCAGAAACATCGTAATTATTTGTAACATGAGGCTTAATAAGGGCTAACTAGAACTACAGAATATGTTCTGGGACTAAAGCATCCAAAAATATTCGATGTGCAAGCTTTTAATTAAAGCGTATTTGCTGGGATCTACGTACTTACCTCTTCGACAGTCATGGGCATACAAATTCTGTATTCCTTGGTAAGCACCATTTCGAGTTAACTTTGTTATTTTTTTGATTATTAACACAAATCCCTTCTCTTTACAATGGGAATTAATCTGATTAATCTATTAAAAATATTTCATAGAGAAAGGATATACTGAATTAATAATTTCTTAGAAGAGTTAGAAGCAGAAGGTACAGACAGTCAGGAGTAGCGTTATCCAACTGTCAAATTTATTCAAATGACTTTGAGCTTTACAAACTTCCGAATAAGTTATAGAGTTTAGACGATCACCATTTTCTCGGCACATTTCACAAACTATTGAGCATATTTGACATTTTGTGGTTGATGTATGGTGTGTGTGCCTGTGGCTGTACCTCAGTGTGCTGTCAGAAAATGTTTACCACCATAACATAGGGTACGGGTACGGCCAGAGTGCACTCCTGATTCAGATTCAGATTCAGAGGGTGCGGCCAGAGTGCACTCAGATTCAGATTCAGATTCAAATTCTGAAAACAAGCGCGAGAAATAAACAGTGTAGTCGAAGGGTACGGCCAGAGTGCACTCCTGATTCAGATTCAGATTCAGAGGGTGCGGCCAGAGTGCACTCAGATTCAGATTCAGATTCAAATTCTGAAAACAAGCGCGAGAAATAAACAGTGTAGTCGAAGGGTACGGCCAGAGTGCACTCCTGATTCAGATTCAGACTCAGAAAACAAAGCGCGAGAAAAAGCAGGCAACCTGCTTAGACTACACTGTTTATTTCTCGCGCTTGTTTTCAGAATCTGAATCTGAATCTGAGTGCACTCTGGCCGCACCCAGACTCAGAAAACAAGCGCAAGAAAAAGCAGGCAACCTGTAGTCTACTACACTGTTTATTTCTCGCGCTTGTTTTCGGAATCTGAATCTGAATCTGAGTGCACTCTGGCCGAAGGGTACGGGTACGGCGCGAGAAATATACAGTGTAGTTTAAGCAGGTTGCCTGCTGCCACTATGGCCACCCGTTTATTTCTCGCGCTTGTTTTCTGAGTCTGAATCTGAATCTGAATCAGGAGTGCACTCTGGCCGTACCCGTACCCTATGTTATGGTGGTAAACATTTTCTGACAGCACACTGAGGTACAGCCACAGACACACACACCATTAGACATGGGCGTTTTTGGTTTTGAACGCAAACGGATATTTATCGGATTTCAGATTTCAAAATCGATTTTAAAATCAGTTTTTAGATATCCGATTTCAGATGTGCCGAACTTAGCCAATTCACTAGTTTGTGTTATGATTTGGTTTTATTAGCTAACGACAATCACAAACAATTAATTGTACGAAGCAAGGATACTCATAGTTTTCGCGATTTTCCTTTATGCTTTAAATCTAGGCTTAGCCAAGAGTATATATTCTGTGGCTTAGGACTAGCAGAAAAGTTATCTTTACGGTTAAGAGTAAAACTATTGCGGCGCATTTAAAAATCGGCTTATATACAATGATTTCTTTTTTTTTAATTATTTTTCAAAACATTTACAAAATCAAACCTAATTACATCAGGTTAGCGTTAAAAAAAATGATAGTTGCTCGACTTTCGATGTTGTTAGACGTCATCTTTTTTCAGTAATAAATAATCCCGCCTTAGAGAAGAACAATAGATTTCCGTAAACAGCAAACCGAATTTGGACTTCCGAGCACGAAATCGGACTTCCGAAAACGAAAGCACGAATTTCGAATCCGATTTACATTTGGATACTTGTGGTGGTATCAGATCGCTAGTGTTTTGGTTCGGTTAGATTTCTAAAATCGGATTTTCTTGTTGAGAAATTGTTCGGTATCGATTTGTGTTTGAAATCGGATTTTGGATTCGTTTTGATATATCGGACGCATGCCTACACACCATACATCAACCACAAAATGTCAAATATGCTCAATAGTTTGTGAAATGTGCCGAGAAAATGGTGATCGTCTAAACTCTATAACTTATTCGGAAGTTTGTAAAGCTCAAAGTCATTTGAATAAATTTGACAGTTGGATAACGCTACTCCTGACTGTCTGTACCTTCTGCTTCTAACTCTTCTAAGAAATTATTAATTCAGTGTATCCTTTCTCTATGAAATATTTTTAATAGATTAATCAGATTAATTCCCATTGTAAAGAGAAGGGATTTATGTTAATAATCAAAAAAATAACAAAGTTAACTCGAAATGGTGCTTACCAAGGAATACAGAATTTGTATGCCCATGACTGTCGAAGAGGTAAGTACGTAGATCCCAGCAAATACGCTTTAATTAAAAGCTTGCACATCGAATATTTTTGGATGCTTTAGTCCCAGAACATATTCTGTAGTTCTAGTTAGCCCTTATTAAGCCTCATGTTACAAATAATTACGATGTTTCTGGGGTTGACGACACGCTCCACTGAATTGGTTAGATATGAGCGTTCTACCACCTAAGAGTTGCCTGAACATAATGATGACAGTTTTCCTGCCCACCGTCTATAACAATTATTGTCCAACGGCCCCATATCCATCGATAGGGATTTATTATTCTCTGAGGCGAGTGTATTCTATTTATCTCTTGCACCGTTAGATATGTTATGGCTTAATGATTTAGCCTTTCATTTCTTTATGAAATTGCAATTTTATCTGTAATTTTCTAATCTAATCTTAAATTTGCAGTACCAAATTGGCCAACTTTACATGATAGCTCGTCATAGTTTTGAGCAATCTAGCAATGGTGAAGGTGTTGAGGTTGTAGCAAATGAGCAAGTAGTGGATCAAATATATGGACATGGCCAACATACTGAGAAGAGAATCCATCTTTCAAGGTTTTTAGTTAAAAGCACATAATTCTCATATGTATTACTAGTTACATAGTATTACTATAAGATGGCTGTTTTGGCACATTGCAATAGTAATGTGGAATATTAATTTTTTATCAAATAATGTTCCTGTTTATTTGCAGCCATTTACCTTATTGGCTACAATCACTAATCCCCAAAGTATTTTATGTCACTGAAAAGGCATGGAATTACTACCCATATACAACAACTGGTAAGAATGTGCATAGTCATATATATGAAATTTGTATTTGATAGAATAATACTATTAATTAATTATATTTTTCATGGTGCTTGTGCTGTAAAGAGTACACGGTGAGTTGAGCATGTTACCTATATTGATTGTTTTGATTGACTTTTTAACTGCTTTCGATTATAATACATTTTACCTGTTTTAGTGCTCCTTTATACCCAAGTTTGCAATATCTATTCAAACAAGATATGAAGATGACAATGGAACAACTGAGAATGTAAGTGTCCAGAAACTACCCATTTATATAATAGAATCTATTGATCACTCACTAAAAATTGATAATATTAACAATTGATAATTTATATATAGTGTTTGGGCCTCACCGCTGAAGAGTTAGAACAAAGGGAAGTTGATTTTCTTGATATTGCATATGATGACATAAAGCCACATCACTACAAGGAAGCAGAAGATCCCAAATATTATAAATCTGAAAAGACTGGCCGTGGCCCTTTGGTGGAAGGCTGGCGGGATACTCAAAAACCTATTATGTGTTGCTATAAAGTTGTCAGTGTCAAGTTTGAAGTATGGGGCTTACAAACCAAAGTCGAAGAATATGTGCAAGGAGTATGTATATGTTTGTTTCTTAGGTTTTCACACACAACACTCATTAAATAAAACAACGTTCAATGGTTTAATGCGTTGATTTTTTTGTTTCTTGGCATTTCACATCCTTATCAGGCTGCATTGTCAGAATTGTGATTTTTATTTACTTCGTTGAGTTATCTTCAAAAGACTTATCGAGAGTTCGGGTATTTCATTGAAAGATTATTTAATAAAAAAACTGTCTATGTATGAATTTATTAGCTAATTTAATTAAGAAAGTACTTTATTTTATTCTTATTTAATCTTTGAGTTTACCTCAGAGAGGTTTCTCAGAGAGGCTTTATGGCTCCTTCTTATGTGTCCTTCTTATATAAACAAAAAGCACTAATAGTATCTATTAGTATGTATATAACCTATAAACAGCAAGATTTTGTAAACTTTAATCTAAATTTAACATCAGTCTCCCCTTTTCATATAGAGAATGACAGGGATGCATTGGTGTTGGCTCTGGTATTCTCTAAACCTAAAATTAAAATTGACAACAGTGTATCCTTGTCATTTTCTATACAGAATGGAAAAGAGAGACTGATGTTAAATTTGGTTTTTAGGTTAAGAGAATCATGCCAGAATCGACAACACAAATAATATTAATTTCAATTTCAGGCAATTCGTGAAATATTAGTGTTGGGACATCGTCAAGCATTTGCTTGGATGGATGATTGGTATAATATGACTATTGATGATGTGAGGGAATATGAGTCTGAAATGCAGGCAAAAACCAATATTAAGGTTTGTGTAGATAAAGTTAGACTTTTGTATCTAAGAAAAACATTCCAGAAATATTTCAACTGAACCCAGGTGTCCATATAATATATAACTATAATGCGATTCAAATAAGAATAGGAAAGCCAATGACCTCTATCTGTCAAATGTCGCTTGAAAAGTACGGTTTGCAAAAAAAAAACTTGGAACCCTTTTATAGTACTCCGTTAATTCAAGAATAAAAACCAAACATTTGTAAACAAACAATAACAAATATTGATAATTAATATCGGTTAATATTTTTTTTTCACTTATTGAGCTTTGGCCATGAATGGTTGATAACCTAAATCGTCAACCAAATGTCACTTTAAGTTGCGTTCAGAAACTCGATTTCAAACTTTCGTTTACATAAAGGATGCATGTTCGTATGTGACCTAGTAATAGTGCATGATTATTCATAACTACTCCGGCGGTACTGCAGAGATGAGCGGAATAGAAGAGCTAGATTCTGATTAATGTTTTTTCTCACAGTCTTAATAAAAATAAATATTATTAAAAATCGGTGGTTTTTGTTTTCTCAATCTTAGTAAATAAATGTTATTAAAAAAATCTAATGCTTTTTCTCACTTAATCTTAATAAATAAGTTTTATTAAATAAAAACTTTTTTGCTCACTCTACCTATTTGGTTTGAATTGACAGCTATGACATCACAATATGGCGTCCAGTCGGTCCTATTCTTAGTTGAATCGCATTATAACTATATTAACATCTATAATGTGACTTTTGACATTTGAAATCCAGTTTGATTGAAATAAAATCGAGAAAGATATGCATTCAATTAGAAAATTGAAGAGAACCAAACTTACAACTTGCGGTGCTGCAGTTAGGTATAAGGTTTTTTTATCGGGCACGCAGAAAATTAGTTTATTAACAACAAAAACGTTTATAACAACTCTTCACAATAGGGAGCGCTACAGTCGGGTATTAGGTTTATTTAACCGGCAGGACATTGTCTGGCGTATCCGCTAATTTGGTTTATAGAATTTATGAGTCCATTAGCTATGTTATAACGATCAGGCATGACAAATTAATGGGTTTGGGCTGAGTTGAATTATTTGTAATAATATTTCCTTTATGCCGGCACTTCACTTGGTTATTCGTTTTTGCTATTTGCAAACTTGACATCAGTGTGTCCTTTTAATTTCTTATAAAACATGAAAATGACAGACTGTTTTCAAGTTTACAAATAGCAAATACGTATAAGCCGCGCCAGTAAAAAAACGAATCGAATCGATCGTAATGGCGTCTATATACCTGCACTGACAGATGGTAGGGTCAACAAATAAAAAGAAAGATAGAAAGAAAAAGTCCTTTACTAGGTAATGTCGAGACAGTGCGAGAACAAAGTCAGAACTGATATTTTTGTTTGCATGCAATACGCGCCTGTGCGACTAAAGACAGCAATAGTTTAGAGTGAGAGCGCATGATCGCCGCCGCCATTTTTGATTCGTTTCTTTATTGGTGCGGCTTATATAGCTAAGTGAAGTGTCGGTCGCTGTCATTGTGAATTGACCCTTAAGGGTGGAGAAGTATTTATGTATGTAGTCTTGAGAGAAAAGGCTTGTGAAGGTATTAACTTTGATTCTTTTATTTTCAGATGAAAGATACTATTGAAAATGTTGAGCAAGGCGAAGAAATCAAATTTGATTCTTCTAAACCAAACACTCCAAAATCACCAAAGAGCCCAGGAGCTACTCCAACCTCAGAGGCAAAGTCATGGTTCTCATGGTCTTAAAATACATCTATGTATTTAGTTGAATTCAACCTGATCTCATTGCAGCACAGGGTTTATTTTGTGAACTAAAGGTGTTCAAATATTGCCTACTAGATTGTCTACTAGTTCATAATTATCAAACATTCTTCATACCTTTAAAATAACGTAAATTATTGTAATATTTAGGGATGCAAAAAATACCATTTTTGTTTGGCGGTTTTATTGAAAATGGAACTTGTTGCAATAACGGTGAACACTTCAACAAGGTACCAATTGAACCATACTTCTAATCTTAAAGATTATGAAATTGATGATTCTTAAACTGAACTTGACTTAATCAATCTAACCATATCACAATAAACTAAACTAGTTTTGAATAAATGCGTCGTATAGCATAATAATTGTATTATGTTATCTCTTTCAACGAATTACGCATATTTCTATAAACTCATAATATATCTGGATAAGACGTACTAATATAGCAACGATACTGGAAATGCCTAGTCACCATTACCACAGCAAAGCGAGGATATGAAGGTTTCTTTCACAACAAATTAATGAAATTAAATATACAAAAATCGCTGTTGAAACTTTGTTAAAGATAAATAAATGCTGATGTAAATTCTGGCATGATTCTCTAAACCTCAACTTAAATTTGACAACAGTCTATCCTTGCCATTCATTATATATATATATATATATATAATGAATGAAAAGGAGGGACTGAATCGACACCACTGTATAGCTACCTATTGGTCGTATAGGTGCGGAATCATTTGTTGCATGTTACAGGTAATATTTAATAATAAGAAGATGAAAAAGGGATTTCGTTGATTTATTTGAAACATAAATCTAAACACATAATTAATATTTTTGGGTGTCTAACTTGTGTCTTCTTTTCACCTATCTTTCAGAAAAGATAAATAAAATATTGTTTCTGGTTAAACTTCAATGACCCTTTTCTTCGAATTATCTTATCACTTTCCCAAAATTTTATGAAAATTACGCGGAATGCGAAAGAGTTATACAATGAGACTGGGGTATATCACATAACTATATTGACCTGAACTTGAATGTAAATTTTGATATTTGAATCACATTTTTATCGATTAAAATGGCCTAACTAGCTAAACTTAATTTTATTTATACATACTCCTAGTATTTGAAAGATTTGGGACCTTTTTCACAAAGCTGACAATAGTCGACTGATAGGTAATAAGTGACAATTTTGAAAATTAGTTTAGGAAATGCTTAGAAAAACGATAGATAGGCTTTGTTATATTTGTTCGTATCTTACTTTAACGACAATTATGTTTAGACACAATCAAATAGCCGGTAATTCTTATCATAAGATCGGGCTATTCAGATTTCCGTTACGTTGTAGTGTTTCCGTTGTTAAAAACCGTTTTAAAACGATTCCAAGACGACCGATCCAAGAACAAATGAAAGCTTATTGAGCGGTGGTATAGGCAAAACAAAACTGTTGTGTGTGTACCAAATTGTGTACTATAATATTGCTAGTTTGGCAAACTGAAAAACAAATTCAAATGACAACACTGGTTTTCTTCCGTCTATAGATCCGCCCTAATAGATTTAAGAGTTGTTTTGCAAATAAATGTAAGTATGGTGCGACCAAGATCTTGTGCCACTTTTATGCCATTGACAGGAGGGCGCTGCTGGTGAATAAGCAAAAAGAGATTACAAAGTACGTAAAATCTCCTTACTAAAGAGAATATTATAATTTACAACACATCGGAAAGAGTAATAGGTAGGTAGTAATACGTAATATAAAAGGCTTATTTACACCTTCCTCCAAAAGTAAAAGGCTTATTTAAAACTGTCTAAAATTAGTTCCGAATTCGGCCACGCCCCACAAGATCTTTTCACACTGTGTATGTACTGTTGTTTTAGAAGCAATGAGTTGATGGTTTAGATTTTAAATATTGAAGAGCTCGGTGTTGAAGTAGTATATAAGTAATGATATTAAATAAAAAAATGGGTGCGTGTACTTATGTAGGCGCGTGAGAAGTTATCCTTCTTTGGCATCGTTTAAAATTAGTTTTTAATTGCATGCAAATAATTAATTACAATAAATTAATAAAAAGTCTGGAAAAGGACACAGTCAATAAAGTTCAGTTTTAATTTGAAAAAATAAATAAATAATCAAAATATTCAATTAAAATCACTACTGAATATAATTTATTAGAACATATGTGATTTGCACTTGTATGAAACTCAAACACGTATTCCGAATATACAAACTAGAAACATGTGGATAAATATTATAAATATGTATACCTATAACTGTTACTTTATTACAAAAAATAAAGATGTGGTTTTTGGTTCTACTACACCAATGGTCAAGAGATGGCGCTGTAGTCTCCTGAATCGCGCTTTGGTTCCGTTCCAGATTAATAATTACTTTTGATAGGCCTTTACAATGCAGTCGTTAGCACCCACTAAATAGAGATTCTATTTCTATTTGTTGGTAGATTTTCTTAATGTGCGGTAAACACAAAAGTAACAGCATGAAGTTGGTTGCTAAAGCGACCAACTTCATGCTGTTAATTTTTGTGTTACAGTGATGCGCGCGCATCTTAAAATTTCACTCTCATCATTTTTTCATAACGCGCCTAAAGAAGTATAACTTCAAAAACAAAATAAGAAGTTATGTTAATTGTTGTGTAGATGGATAGTTATAATATTGACGCTATGTAACTTTATACACTGTCAAATATATTGTTGGATTCATCTAGACTAATATTATAAAGACGAAAGATTTGATTGTTTGTTTGTATTAATCAGGCTCCGAAACCAATGGACTGATTTCAAAAATTCTTTCACGTTTAGAATTCTACATTATCCCTGATAAACATAGGGTATAGAGTATTTAAAAAAAAGTTAGAGTTTATGAAAAGTTCGATAACGTAACCCAGGGTGTGAAAAAAATGCCAAAAAATAACCATAGATCTGCGCTGCGGAAGTCATTGAGCAAAGTGATGTACTAAAGATTTTAAGAGGACATCAATATCTACAAAAAAGTTCGCGTTACCACATGTTTATTACAGTTAAGCCACAACTAAAGGTGCCATGCGGTTTAATCCGCGTTAATTTGAGGAAAAGGTTATAGTGAGCCAAACTTAAAAGATGGGCCTATGTTGTTGCGGAGTTTTTTATAGAACCTTTAAACGGGAATTATTCCGCCATACATGATTTTTATGCAACTTTAATCATTTAGTCAGCGCACGCAACGGAAGCGCACAAATGGAATATTTTTACCCATTTTTGCAAAATGTTACATCGATACTCCGCTCCTTCTGGTCGCAGCATAATATAATATAGCTTTAAGCCTTCCACAATAAGTGCACTATCTAACACAAAAAAAAAATCAAATCGGACCATTACTTCCTGAAATTTGCGCGTTCAACCAAAAAATGATGCATTCTGTACAATTTGAACTAAAGTACGCAACAAAATTTTCACTATCAGTTAAATAAATTTCATGGAAGCCTTATAATTATATAAAGAAATTCATTGTGTATAATACAAGCCTAAGAACAAAAACTATTGTCTACCTAAACTACTACAGCTCTACACCGAAGCGAAGCGAGGGCGGGCCACTAGTTAATTATAAAAGATATTGTATTATAAGCAAAATGACTTTTCCTTCGATGCCTTTTATATGATATTATTACTAGTATTTTATATTAGTTTTCATAAATCTGTTTCGTAAATTCCGAAAAATTGACTACAAATTATTACTCCCCAAATGTGGAAAGCTGCAATATGGATACTTTATAAATAATGTATATTATAGGTAATTATATGAGTACCTTCCTATATAAACAAGTGTTTATACGCATCAGCTTATCCCACAAAGAAATGTCCCATCTGGAATACCTTTGCTGCTGTTGTACCAGCCGGGACTCCAACAGCTAAAGCTAAATCCATAATTATACATCACTGGCAACTATATTAAATACCCAAGATACACCAACACGAACATAATACATTGCAACACGCGTAATCTGAATTCAAACCATGAAATGTGTATCTTTTCGCGTAGTAAATAAAGTTATGTTTTGAGTCGCTCTGTGTAGCGTGCAGCGTCGTGTCGCTTGAACCGACGCGACGCTTACGGACCGCGAGGAAAAGAGACTGCTATATTACCGACCATGCATTTGAATATCAAATATTTTCTATTAAATCAGGTTATAGTAAGTATTAGAACAAAAAAATTACTTCAAATGCGTTACATTAACCAACATTGATTAAATACCTGTCAAAAAACAACACATAACGTACTCAATGTATTGTTTTCGTATTTTTTCACGGAGCCACACGGAGCTCTGCGGTATCTTTAGATTTCAACGGTCCGCGCGTGACTGTGAACCAAGAAGTGCTTGAGTGGTGTTCAAGCACTTCTTGATTGGGACACATTTTAGCGCACGTGGTGTATCTAGGGTATTTAATATCGTTGATCACTGGAGTGCGATTGAAACTTAATGGCGACTGTGAATTAAGTGCAAGTGGCAGCGCAGTTAACCAAATTTAGTTGCGCTCTGGGTTTCGTATAGATTTCACTATCGCCATGGACAAATTTTGAAATGAGTCACTTTCTTATAACATTGATATCTCTAGAAAGAGAAAAAGCGATGGTGAAGCCAATACCTCTACGAACTGTCGCTTCGTTTTTTCATACTTATCTGCCGTTTTACTGTACAGCTAGACCGGGAACGCTTAGTCCAATCTCCATTTCACTAACTGAAACCTGTATTACGTTGGTTTCGTACTATTCTTATATTTGTCAACTGTTTTAATATTTCATATAAATGGATGATGACGGAGTAAAGTAAACGAAAGTCTGTTTAGTCCGGCAGATAGATTATCAACAACCATTATTGGTTAATAAACAATCTATCTCATTTATTTTGCCTTTAAAGATAAACCGAAAATTGACAATGGTAAAACGAGGTTAAGTTTAGGAGTAAGCTTATGGCATCATCACGTGAAAATGTACCAAGACATAATGTCATGCGATATTTCAAATCTTAGAGCATACTCTAAGTAATGTTTTGATTATGTTAATAGTGAAAAAATATGTGTTCAATACTAACATTTAGTCATCACCCCTATTGTATTGAAGATATTTAAATTAAAACAATGTTTGTGCTAGTCTCCCTTAGTGTAGTGGAGTTCTTAATTAGCTAGATAGATTGCACGATGTATAATATTATTATGCATTAAAGAAATCATTCATTCATTTCATTTTTAAATAAGTAAATAAATTTGTCATTAATATAACTTAAGTTTTTTATCAAATACTAAATTGACAAGATATTTTAGAAAACATCGAATGAGTTAAAATATGAAACAAAATGTCTAATTTCACAGGCCATTAAGATGAAATGTCAAATTGAATGAAATGTCGCCATTTTTGATCCCTGATTTAAATAAAGCTAGTTAAAATGTAAACGAAACCGCTAATGTTTTCACAAAATAATTGCTCTGTATAGGTAATTTATAAAACAATAGCTTAAGTATTACGATTTTCCTCGTAGTAGACCAAAATATTTTCATAGTTTTGGACTTGTCAATAATATTTTAAACGTTCATGAATGTTTTGTTGTGGTGTGTAATGCTGTATTTGATTGTTTACTATATTTAATGGTAGATTTTGGTGTGACATAATAATAGAGATATACTGGTAGCGGCGCTTTAACGGGATGACGTATCTTGAAAATAACCTTGACATGTGAATATGGACCGTTAAAATATCGAAATTTTGTTATGTACTTATTGCAGGTTTGATTTTTCAATCTTGTCTGCAGGAGTCTTAGGCTACTTAATTATTTATTTCCTACTTAAAATAAATGCCATCTGTAAATTGGTAATCCAAAAGTGACATGACAAAAAAAAAATGTGTCGATTGGTGTTCCCGTAGCATCAGTTCGTTCATAGTCCGTTATCATAGTTCGTTTTTTATTGCGTTTAACTGTCAAACTCTATACTAATTTGACAATTGACCGTGATAAAAATAAATATATATCTTAATATCGCATATCGCGGTGCAAATGCTAGGGGTAGGCCTTTTTGTAATGCTCTTAGATATTTGTTATATAGGTAGATATTATACAGGTGTGAAAAAACCTTTAACGAAGGCCTCGTATCTTTCCCATCACGCAGATATTTTTTTTCTTTTGGACTATACCTGGGAAACTTAAGGTTATGGAGATATTGAAGGTCAAAGTCACAATTTTTTTTCAAGATTTATACATTAATATTTTCAAGACGCTATTTAGAAACTTTTATCGACGCCCTTAATGGTAGCGCCACAGTAGCGCGCCGCGCTATACATTGCGTACTGGATAAAAAATGTATTTTTTTAAATTAAAAGTACAAAATAAATGATTCCCACGTATAATATTTTGTAATATTACTTGTTTGGGTGTACAGAATGCGTAGTTTCAGTCTTTGGTATAGGTTTTTTTACATTGTGTATAACAATACTTAGTGACCTGGGAATTTTATTTTTATCATTTACAAAATATCCAAATAATAGAATCATATTATGGATTTCGATGTTAATGCTGACTTTAATGTTGAAGTACTTAAATGTTATACTCTTGTGTTGTAGACATTATCAATGAAAGCTTTCTGAAGTTATAAAGTTCAAATCGCAAAATAAATATTTTATGTCATATATTCAGTTTTGTTTCTTTTGTCGTGATTGGTTGTATGTTTGTATGACGTCACGTATCCAATTTAAATGCGGTCCAATGCTGGTGTATACTCCTGGTAAATTTTTTACGCCACATCCCATTCCGTAGCTGCTGATACCTTCCAATAATGAATTTTCACATATTAACGGACCACCAGAATCCCCCTGGAAGAAGTGAAGGTTTTTTAAATACGTACATATTATTATAATGGATATATTATGTATGTTATTTTTGGATACATAGATAAGTACATTTTAGTGCAAATATAAAGAAACAGCCAACATTCAGGTAGGAAATGCTATTTTCATTATACAGTTATTTATGAAGTGTTGACGACCTCCGTGGCCGAGTGGTTTGTTTGCCGGGTTTAAAGGTGCCATTCATACAGAGGCGGCGTAAGGCGTGGGCGACGTGGGCCACCGCCTACGGCCTCGCGGTACAAGCTTAGATTAAAACAAAAAGGGTAGATACGGCACTAGCCTCATAAAAGTGATCCGCATGAATTGTGGTCCAATACCCTAATCGCTTTAGTCACAACTTGACATGCAAGCGACGTACATGGGAACGCCAAAAAGAAATATTGCTAATATTTTGTGTTTATATGATAAAACAATGCCTAAGTGTGTTTTTAAAAAGTGCTCAAATTGCTTAAGAACTAAAAATAAAACCCACGGCATCACTTTTCATTCGTAAGTACTATAAAATATATTTTTCATAAAAATTGCTGTTTGTTTCTTATTCGGTAGTGACGTCGAGCAGAGTAGTATTTAACGTCGAGTACTGGTCGCGTGATTGGTCGGTAGTGCAGTGACGCGGATCTCGCCGTCTCGTTCGCGCTGCCGTTGAAGCTTAACGTGCTGTTTCGTTCGGGTCGGTAATGCAGTGACGCGGATCTCGCCGTCCCGTTCGCGCTGCCGTGGGATCATTTTTTGTTTGATGCAAGTATGAGCGTACCGTATCTACCCTTTGTTTTAATCTAAGGGTACAAGGGGCCTCGCGCCTCAAAAATTTTTATGCATTGCTTAAAAGCGAATATCTTTTTTTATTATTTTATAAAATCCGTTTTCAGGTCGCCACAGAACAGGGCCTCGCGAAATCTGTCTTGCCCCGCCACTGCATTCATACAACATTATGTATTATTATTATTCTCTTTATTTATTGTATACCATATTGATTACATTTTTAAATATTGATATAAAAATAAAAACATTTAAAAATATAAAAAATAGAAGCCAACCGGCAGCGGGAACAGGGTCCTAGCTACCGGTGGTTAGGGCCCCAGAGAGAGGAACCTCCTCACTATGCGAGCCGTGTCAAAGAGCACTGCCTTCTGTATCAGGCCCTTGATCCAGTCACCCAACTCGAGCTTCCGCAGATGACATCGAAGCTCTTAGCTATCAGGCCATTGACTGTCACAACTATCGGCACAATGATAGCCGAGTCAACATCCCACATGGCGACAACCTCATGAGCCAAGTCAAGATATTTTATTTGTTTATCTTTCTCGGCTTTCATGAGGTTCTCGTCATGAGGGATGGCCACATCAACTATCATTGCGAGGCGCTTTTCCCGATCTATCATCACTATATCAGGCTTATTAGCAACAATAGTCCTGTCAGTGATGATAGATCGGTCCCAGTACAGCGTGATATGACCACTTTCGAGAACTGGGTCGGGCACATACCTGTAATATGGCACCTCAGAAGCAACAAGGTTGTATTTCAGGGCAAGCTGCTGATGGATAATCCTGGCCACTTGGTTGTGTCTGTGCAAGTACTCGCCGTTAGCTAGACGAGAACAACCCGAAAGAATATGCCTAATCGATTCACTATTATTCAAATCAATTCAATTCATTATTATTATTATTATTATGCGGCGAAGCTCTCGCCGTTTCTCTTGATATTTCTAAGGCTTTTGACAGGGTCTGGCATGCAAGTCTCATTGGCAAGCTTCCATCATATGGAATCGCTGACGGACTTTGCAACTGGATTGCAGATTTTCTGAGGGGCAGATCGATACGAATGGTCATTAATGGCACATCGTCGGATCTGCTTGGTATTAATGCCGGTGTCCCCCAGGGATCTATCCTCTCCGCAACTTTATTCTTGCTGCACATCAATGATCTGCTCCTAACTCCCGGTATCTTTGGGTATGCAGACGACAGCACAGTTTCGGAGAGATATCTGCCGGATGTGAAGGCTGTTGCAGATGTCCGATCATTAAGGGAGGCGATGGTGGAGGGAGTGAATGCAACCCTGGAAGCTGTTTCCCTCTGGAGAGAAGCCAACTTGGTTGGATTTAATCCCTCAAAAACACAGGCCTGTCTCTTCTCGACGAAACGGAGTCCATTCCATCTGACTCCGACTTTCCGAAATGTCTCCGTGCCGGTTAAAGACCATCTCGAGCTCTTGGGTATGGACATCTCATCCAACCTCAATTTCGGTCGCTACATCGAGTCCATTGCTAAAACCGCTGCCAGAAAACTTGGAATACTTTCTAAGGTCAGGCGATGTTTTACATCTGAGCAGCTCCTTAACCTTTACCCAACCCAAGTTCGCTCCTGCTTGGAGTACTGTTGTCACCTTTGGGACGGATCTGCTCGGTATCAGCTGGATGCACTGGATTCGGTGGAACACCGTGCGAAGAGACTCATAGACGCTCTTGTTGAGGCTAATCTCCAGAGCCTTGACCACCGAAGACGTGTAGCTTGCCTCTCGGTGTTTTATCGGTTACATTTCGGAGAGTGTGCGGAGGTATTACGTAATTTGATCCCCTCTTCCCCTTTCCACCACCGGACGACCAGGCGCGGCGAGGGCTTCCACCCTTATGTTGTTGAAGTTCCTCCCATTCGCACGAAGCGATTTGCTTCGGCCTTCATTATGCGAACGGCTAGGGAGTGGAACTCCTTGCCGAGGTCTGTTTTCCCGGACCAATATAATCTGGATATCTTCAAGGCCAGAGTGAACAGGCATCTTCTAGGCAGGCGTGTACTATCCTAGGCCTCATCATCACTTTCCATCAGGTGAGATTGTGGTCTAACGCATTGCTTATTATGAATAAAAAAAAATGTTCTAAAATCAAATAGCGCGCGCTTTCCAAACTTCCTGTTACACACTTCGTCTCACTTCACGTAATCACTCCCACAAATTGCAAGAAAGCGAGAGGTCTTTCCTCTCGCTTTACACATCAAAAATATACTTTTACTTACGTTACCTTACCTTAGTATCCCATAACACAATCTATATAGTGCTTACTTTGAGGCTAGCCTAATTGGTGTAAGTGTTGGAATTATTTATTTATTATACAATCGTCTGCCCCTACCGGTATTGAATCTACGGACCTTCGATTAATTAGTGAATGACCACTACTACATCACACCGAACTTGATTTATAGGTACCACGGATAAACCTAAACGATGTTAACGATGTCTTGTGAGACTTATAAGCAAGCCGGCCGGACCGGCGCGGCGCGGCGGCGCGGCGAACGCAGCGAAGCGAAGCCCTGCCTTGTTGCGCGATATCGGCGGAGTATCATTTATCGGCGGTATAATCGTCCAAGAAGGTCATTTATGAAGCGTTAAGCTACTTAAGTGTACGCTTTTATTGTGAACACATTTCGTTAATCTTACTTCACACTCAGGTCAAATACAAAAACTATACTTAGATGGAGTGCTGCGTACAAAAAAAATAAAAACGAGTGTGCTTATGACCATGCGACTGAAGTGAAACTTCTTAAGCTCCATCTGTATATATATATATGTATATATATGTGTTCGTGTGTACAATATATACATGTATGTTCACATTTCATTTACTAGCTATAAGAGAAAGAGAGAGAAAAAATGTGCACGCGCACTGCTTTCTCTTGCTTACATCCCCCACTCAACTCCCGTTCGCCTCGCCCGATCACACTTTTCCTAACGCGTTCGCCAGCTTACTCCCCAAGTCAAGCGTGCGTAAAATTTCACTTCAAAAGTGGCACCGGTTAAAGCTAAGCCAGAGCAGGGCGTAGTTTTAACCGGTACCACTTTTCTGTACGCAGCGTTCTATCTGTATTTTTTATTTGATCTGAGACTTAACATCGCTAAGCCCGTTCGTTAGCTTCACTTAGCTAGTTCGTTTAGCTTCCTGCGTAACCTGCGCTGGGTATATAAGGTGTGAGTGATGGACTAATTGCTGGGCCTTGCATAAAAATTACGACCTTCGTGGCCCAGTGGTTTGTACGCCGGGTTTCAAGGTGTCGCCTACTCGAAAGGTCTCGGATTCGATTCCCGGTGGTGGCAGATGTTTGTGTGATGAATACGAGCATTTGTACTCCAGTCATGGATGTTAAATATGTATTTCTATATAAATATACTTACCCGTTTAAGACGATTTCACAGGGTCTCGACCAAAAACGCGTCTTAAGCGGGAAAGCGTATTATGCGGGATTGCAGGATAGCAAATTTGTAAGTATGTACAATATTTAAAAATTATGTATGTTATAAAAAAATAGTGTATGATTACGTTACTGAAATTCATCACATATTTTAGTTTGTCAAAAAGATTTTGAGGCATTAGCAATTACAAGACTTTCAACATGATTTAACTTTTGCAGTGCGTCTTCGCTTTGATTCAAAGAAGACAAAGTCGGAGTTGATTCTTCTTCTACCTTATCATTATCATTTAGGGCCTCTTGTGTGTGTATTCAATCCGTTACCCTGGTATCCCATAACACAAGCCCAGAGTGCTTAACTTTGAAGCTAGGCTAATTGGTGTGAGTGTTGGAAATATTTATTATTTAAAACTAGCTATTATGTACCTGACAACCGTCACTTGTAAGCCCGAGTGCACACAACATGCCATAATCATTCTCAGGCGCCACATACGGACCCAGCAGCTCGATGCATTTATCAAGTGAAACGATCCTCACTACTGCGGCTTGAAGGGTGTCTGAGACTTCTTTAATGTCTGGATCCGTGTACCCGTTTCCGTATATAGTACATTCACCTGTAATCATGTAGGTACATTAGTAATGTAAGTGCGTGTCTATAAATTGTGGAAAACTACACCTACATCTTTACCTATTTAGCTACTATAATGCTGCAGTTATTACTCTTTGTAAGTTTGTTATTCAAATACGCTGACATCAGATTTGGACACTATATTCTACATCCACATATTTGTACCGTGTTAATTGCTTAAACGGCTATTACAATATCCAATTATAAGGGCCCTAACGAAAGGGTGGGAGTGCCCCCTAGCTAGGTACCAATTATCACAACAATCTGACCCTAACTCATCTTCAAACGACATGAACAACTAGCGCACGATTGTTTACAACGTGTTTCTGAAAAAATATTGACATTAAGTTTGTATGTCAAAAGAAAAGTTCTATAAGGCACGAATGGTACAGAATAAAAGGATCATTTAATTAGAAATACTGCTTGGGAAGAAATTGGTGAAATGTTAAAATATATTACCCAGTAGGTAACTACATTGTTTTCTTTTTTTTACAATCAAAAATTTTATTGAGAAGATAAATTAAAGATCTTCATTAAATTCACTATCCAAACCAGAAGCATATTTAAACTCTGCAAAGGTTTCGTAGGTATCTAATGTTCAGAAAAAATGCCAGAGTACGCCACGCCACGACAGATTAGTTTGCACACTCACCGTCTCGATAGTACCTAATCACCACGCTGACACGCCACGACACGTAAGTATGTTTGCGCCTTAACACTCTTCGACAATGTGACGTACCTGTTTTTTTTTGAGTGTGTATGCTGTTGGTCGCAGATGACCTTGATAGCGTCACCGGGTTTGAGGACGGCGAGATCCTAAGGGGACCTCAAGCCGAGAATTGGCGAGTGCCTCTAGAGGTATTCCAGGCGGATGGCGTCTCCCCACGGGGGGAGTCTCCTCTCCGTCTGGAGCCTCTAGACCAGTCTAACCGGAGGGGGTCGGCTCAACAAGAGGGCGTCTCTGAGACTCGGACCTCGGCTCTAGTTAGCCGTTGTCGTGGGGTATGGGGAAAAACGCCCAGGTACGTACCTGTACCTGGTATAGCGTGTGTAGACCGGGTCTTCGCACTCTTATCCTATGGGTGCGGTGTCTGCCTAATGTGTGACGTACCGTTACGGAGGAGAACGGGGAAAAGTGTTATTTGGACTTTGAAAAACATAACCAATTAGGAACAAAATATATGTCAGCGGTAGGTCAGTGCATCGTCCCGGGTAGCGGAAGTTGCGAGTTCTAATCCTGTCTGTTGCCTAGACCGCGTGGTATATTTATGGGAAAAAATATTTAGATCTAAAGAAAAGTTTACTAGAAAAAAATCCACGCGGACCAGGCAGCGGACGGGACTCGAACCCGCATCCTTCGCTATCCGGGCGAATGCACTGACCATTATGCTACCACGGCCCTATTAGCCGCGTCGAAATTTTCCTAGCCTTAAGCTGCAAGGCAGCGCCATCTCTTCGCATTGTAGGCAACCCACAATGTCAAATGAATACTTTTTCAAGTATTAAACATTTGAAAGAAGAAATAGCAATTATAGTTATGATTTTATTTATTTTTTAAGCATTTAACTGCTAGATGTTTAAATCTAAAGAAAAGTTTACTAGAAAAAAATCCACGCGGACCAGGCAGCGGACGGGACTCGAACCCGCATCGTTCGCTATCCGGGCGAATGCACTGACCATTATGCTACCACGGCCCTATTAGCCGCGTCGAAATTTTCCTAGCCTTAAGCTGCAAGGCATCGCCATCTCTTCGCATTGTAGGCAACCCACAATGTCAAACGAATACTTTTTCAAGTATTAAACATTTGAAAGAAGATGTAGCAATTATAGTTATGATTTTATTTATTTTTTAAGCATTTAACTGCTAGATGTTTAAATCTAAAGAAAAGTTTACTAGAAAAAAATCCACGCGGACCAGGCAGCGGACGGGACTCGAACCCGCATCCTTCGCTATCCGGGCGAATGCACTGACCATTATGCTACCACGGCCCTATTAGCCGCGTCGAAATTTTCCTAGCCTTAAGCTGCAAGGCAGCGCCATCTCTTCGCATTGTAGGCAACCCACAATGTCAAATGAATACTTTTTCAAGTATTAAACATTTGAAAGAAGAAATAGCAATTATAGTTATGATTTTATTTATTTTTTAAGCATTTAACTGCTAGATGTTTGAATCTAAAGAAATAGTTTACTAGAAAAATCCACGCGGACCAGGCAGCGGCCGGGACTCGAACCCGCATCCTTCGCTATCCGGGCGAATGCACTGACCATTATGCTACCACGGCCTTATTAGCCGCGTCGAAATTTTCCTAGCCTTAAGCTGCAAGGAAGCGCCATCTCTTCGCATTGTAGGCAACCCACAATTCTTTAGATAGGCAACACTTTTCTTTAGATTTAAACATCTAATAGGGCCGTGGTAGCATAATGGTCAGTGCATTCGCCCGGATAGCGAAGGATGCGGGTTCGAGTCCCGTCCGCTACCTGGTCCGCGTGGATTTTTTTCTAGTAAACTTTTCTTTAGATTTAAACATCTAGCAGTTAAATGCTTAAAAAATAAATAAAATCATAACTATAATTGCTATTTCTTCTTTCAAATGTTTAATACTTGAAAAAGTATTCATTTGGCATTGTGGGTGGCCTACAATGCGAAGAGATGGCGCTGCCTTGCAGCTTAAGGCTAGGAAAATTTCGACGCGGCTAATAGGGCCGTGGTAGCATAATGGTCAGTGCATTCGCCCGGATAGCGAACGATGCGGGTTCGAGTCTCGTCCGCTGCCTGGTCCGCGTGGATTTTTTTCTAGTAAACTTTTCTTTAGATTTAAACATCTAGCAGTTAAATGCTTAAAAAATAAATAAAATCATAACTATAATTGCTATTTCTTCTTTCAAATGTTTAATATGTACTTGAAAAAGTATTCATTTGACATTGTGGGTTGCCTACAATGCGAAGAGATGGCGCTGCCTTGCAGCTTAAGGCTAGGAAAATTTCGACGCGGCTAATAGGGCCGTGGTAGCATAATGGTCAGTGCATTCGCCCGGATAGCGAACGATGCGGGTTCGAGTCCCGTCCGCTGCCTGGTCCGCGTGGATTTTTTTCTAGTAAACTTTTCTTTAGATTTAAACATCTAGCAGTTAAATGCTTAAAAAATAAATAAAATCATAAAAATATTTAGATTTAAACATCAAGCAGTTAAATGCTTTAAAAAAATAAAAATACCTAGTTACATGTTTTCAAAATTTTAATTGTGAACAATGAAATTATATTGGTACGTGTTTGTAAGAAGCTACTGAATAGTGTTATAGTCACTTCGGTGTTTATTTTTGAAGAAAATCCGTCTTGTTTTACTGAATCAATTCTGTTTGTCTGTTAGCCAAATCTACGGCTTCAGTTTTGAGACTTTCTGATCTATTGGGATACATTTTTCTTTCGGAGCTCTGACACAAGTTTCTTTAAACTTTTACACGTTTCTTTGAGTCTTTTTCTTTTCCTTATTAGATTATAATTGTTAAGTTGGAGCCGGTGTTTCTCAAGAGATTTTTTTTCAACTTTTCTCTTCAAAAATGCTATTCCAGGACTATCATAAATTAAATCTTCGTCTGATACCTTAACTTCTTGCAAACTTGATGGTGATGATATGGTATTTTGTTTTCCTTTCTGAAACAAATAAGAATTTAAATGAAATCATTTTTATATGTCCGACAACGACTTGATTATAATGACCTTTTGGATGTAGCGACCTTTGTCCGTTAAATTTAAAGCATACTTTAAAGACAAATATATTGTCTATAACGACTACGGTTATAACGTCGATTTTGAGTAAACCGATTAGTTTTAATGAATTATTCAGAACTATTTTCTAGAAATCCCAAACAGTTGTTGTGACCGAGACCGCAGACAAAAACAGAGATTCATTTATCAAATCACAAAGCTTTCTTATCTTTTGTTCATATCCAACAGAGGGTCACAATTGTAATATATTAATACGCTTTTGTTTTAAAATGCTTAGTGCGATAAAGTTGAATCTAAGAATCAGTGGCACAGTTAAGTTACACTACCTAACTTTAAAGAAGCAATCGACATGTTTTCTTGTCGGTGGGCAATGTGTGTAAGTTACCTGGTAAAAAGGGTGTATTATATAAAGGGAGCATAAAAAATATTTAGGTAATATTTATTTACCTTCATTACAGGAACTGCTGTTCTTTTCAGTCTTCGTAAGTTTTTATTTGTAATATAAACGTCACTGGTCTGGAAATGCTCGGAACACACTGTAGAATAAGTAGCAGGCATCCAATCGTCATCGCATCTTTGATTCCTAATTACATTTTACCACTTTTCTTTCATCACACCATCTTTAGGTAATCTTAAATAGAAATTAAAAATGATGTGGTGTCGTGGGACACCAGGTAGGAACGAAGTTCCTTCGGCTAATGTAGAATCGACACAAATTTCAAACTCGCTTGTGTATGCGACTGTCGCGCCTACGCACGTCTCATTTAACGGTTTTATTCCACGCACTTTTTTCCACGGATTTTTTCTTACGGTTTTACTATCACATTTTTTTCAGTTCGGTCAGCTAGTGTTCGTAAAGATTGCTAGGCAGGACTGGCCCACAGTTTACAATAAACTACAATGTCACAATAATCCAGTAATGCAGCCCCGTCGCTCTGCCACCCCCCTGGACTTAACCACAGTTTAGTATAATATACGACAATAATACAGTGTTGGTATAATGCCACAATAATTTGGGGTTGCACCCCCGTCGCTCTGTCACCCCCTGTTAAGTACTGACCTTGTTATCATGTCTAGCTTAAGTTTACAGCAGATGACAGGCGTTCCTGGTCCACAGCTCGGTATAACGTCATAAATATCCAGATTTCGTGTAATGTCACAATATTCCAGTGCTGCACCCTCGTAGCTGTGCCACCCCCTACATACGCACCTTATTATCATGTCCCGCTAGCGTTCGTAAAGGATGCTAGGCAGGACTGGCCCACAGTTTAGAATAAACTACAATGTCACAATAATCCAGTGATGCACCCCCGTCGCTCTGCCACGTCCTGATAAGTACTCACCTTGTAATCATAATCATGTCTCACAGGCGTTACTGGTCCACAGCTTGATATAACTTCACAAATATCCAGTGTTGGTGTAATATCACAATATTTCAGTGATGCACCCTCGTCGCTCTACCACCCCCTATAACTTCACACATATTCAGTGTTGGTGTAATATAACAATATTTCAGTGATGCACCCTCGTCGCTCTACCACCCCCTCTTCACACATATTCAGTGTTAGTGTAATATCAGAATATTTCAGTGATGCACCCTTGTCGCTCTACCACCCCCTATAAGTTCACACATATTCACTGTTGGTGTAGTATCACAATATTTCAGTGATGCACCCTCGTCGCTCTACCTCTCCCTATAACTTCACACATATTCAGTGTTGGTGTAATATCACAATATTTCAGTGATGCACCCTCGTCGCTCTACCACCCCCTATAACTTGACACATATTCAGTGTTGGTGTAATATAACAATATTTCAGTGATGCACCCTCGTCGCTCTACCACACCCTATAACTTCACACATATTCAGTGTTGGTGTAATATCACAATATTTCAGTGATGCACCCTCGTCGCTCTCTCTCCTGCTGTAAGGAACTTCGTCGCGCCTGCGCACGTCTCATTTAACGGTTTTATTCCACGTATTTTTTCTTACGGTTTTACTATCACATTTTTTTCAGTTCGGTCGCGCAGCAAAATCCCTATCCCCTCCAAGCCTGCCGTAAGGAACTTTCGTTCCAATAAATTATAAATAATATTATATTCGGTACAATATATTCTAGAATATCTGCCTTGACATAAAGCAAAATTACCGATAATTTTAAATTAGAATTCGGGGTTCTTAATGTGATATTACAATTTGTCCCAAATTAATTTTCCAATGGCTAGCTTAGACTGCACTAACGTCGTCTCTTTTACTCTCACGTATAGAGCAGATTACATCTCGCTTTTTAGCCTCCACGTGTCAAAATTTGACAAATTAATTATAACAGATGATTATTAATCATCTAAGATTTCTACGTTATTTTCATAAAAAAGACTGTACTCACAATGAAGTGACTCGTTGTTCTTGTTTTTAGCAGTTGCCGTGTAATTTGTGCAGTATCTAAAAACACAGGTAGGCATTTTTGCCTGGAATAACGTTAAAGATTAACACGTAGCGGAGTATAGCCACGGCAAGAGAGCGTGTCCAACTGAATGCAAGTCGGGCAATTACCCGTCTTTCGCATTTATAGTTATTTATCGGAACGACCGGTTTGCTCACGCGGTTATATATCGGAACTAGGTTACCGGTACCTTTACGTCTAGCATCGGGCGATTTAGAATTTAAGATATTAGTATTCGATAGATTTTTTTGATAAATGAGATACTGTTATAATGTTAAGCAAGTAAGATCTATAATAACGTTTTGAGGAATAATATCGTTTTAATACCTTTATTTGACCCTAAATGCATGTATCCGAGTTTTCGTAATCCCAGCATTACATGCTGAGCATAACTTTTGAGAGCCAAACGACGCGACGGCATAGACACTGCAAAACTTTTGTTATTTTTTACCCGACTGCGCAATGCAAGATCGCGAAGCGCAGAGAGGGTATAGCGTTTAAAAGTCTATATATGTATGTATGTTCCTTTGTGGCACACTAGAGACCAAATGCGTAAATCAACTTTGATGATTCATACGTGAATCGATTCGTCTTAATCAAGGGAGTGCTACGAAGACATGATCGTAATCGAAATTCAATATGGGGACAATTAGGAGCCATATTGTGAGAAAGCACAAAAAATAAGTTGATGGAATATGTCGAGTGGGGTATCTGGGGAATTATCTAGATAATCGAAAATCATGTTTAGGTTTCTTACACCATTTTTCATTTTATTTGACTGTTTAGAAGCTACAACCATGTAAAGTTGCATATTAACCACCTGCGCTTTTGTGATCAATCTTACGTTTGTATGGATCTTTGTTACTCTTTCATCCATAAAATACTTAATGGATTTTAATGAAACTTAACAATAATATAGCTCATACATAATAATAACATATAGATAATAATTTATGGAGCTACTGAGTCAATTGGCCAAAATATACCAAAAAGTGTCAAGTAAGACAGAAAAATATCTCCCAATTGCGAGCCATTTTGGCTTGCACTGCAAAAACAATAAAAGTGACATGAATATAATCTATAGTTTAAATATATTTATCCCTGACTTTTTCGTTTGATTGGTTGTTTACTATAATAATTAAACAGAGAGTGTGCCAACTTAAGCGCTGATCCCTTGGTGATGGCGAGGTGGTTTATCAGATTACAACCAAGAAAGGAAGTCTATTGAGTTGGTAAACGACAGAAACAGAATCGCAAGCCATCTCATAGTTAGTTTTGGATAAGAAAAGAAGTCCGTTTTATTTTAAGTAAACCTCTGCTTTAACACAGAAGCTTGGCTATCATACAAGTAAAAGTCTTTGATGCGACCGTAGAGAGTTCGCCATAGGACAAGATGCTTCTAATCTCAGTTTTAATCCCTATGAGTATTTATAAAATCGCCCATATACTTAGTTACGTTACTGCTATTATACCTGATAACCCGAAAGATGAGGTTGGCAGCACGGAGTCATTAAGCCAAGTGACGTCATCTAAAGCAAGCCTTATCTGCAGAATTGCTAAATCGTGAGCTCGAGAGTACCTAAAATGTATTCGAGATATTAATTTTTGTCACAGAACAAAAAACATACTGTTCTGGGGTTGATGCTATAATTGAAGGTATCTACTATAGTTATAGTAAATTCTGGTAAAAAAACACAAACAAAAAGGTTTGGGGGGTTAGGAAGGTAACTACGAACAAATATTTTTTTATACAAGGCGCAGCACATTACCTCATTCCACCTGATATTCAGTGTAAGGGGAGTCCCGTCCCTAAGATAGTTGTTGCGAAGTAAACTATGCTGATTTTCACCTAGCCGGGCTGAACTCAATCCCCTACCCCGTGGAGTCCTGATACTCACCATCAGAAATACAATCCCACAAAAAGGCAGTGCTATTTCATTGTGGTTTCTATTAGGTCTCTCCACCTAACATTTGCCAAGACGCTTCATTCGAGTGGAAAATCTTTTATCTATTAAAATGTACCTACTTAATTCTGAAAAGAAATACAACTCATTTGCGAAAGTTTTGGAAGGCTATTTTCATGATTCATGTGATGGCTAGGCAGGTAAAAAAAATATACGAATAAGTTTTTTTTACAAATCAAAAACTATATAATATTTTTAAAGATGGCGGTTCCTGACAAAATCTCAGAGTCATCTTTGAAAAGAATTTGATTCAATGTTTATCCGATTTTCATGATTCTTGTGCTTACTTATAAGAAAGTCTTCAAACTTTGTGGTATTTTTTTTACTTTTGAGGGAATTTACCTTCGCTTTCTATTGACGTTTTCCCTTGATCAGTGAGTGATAAGTGCGATTTTTTTGGTCCATTTGATCGACTTTTTTTACGAATAGAATTTCAGTTCATCTGATATATATTCATATTATCCTTTTTTTATAGATAGGCCTGACAAATGACTCCACCCCACCTGATGTTAAGTGACTGTGAAGTCCAGACGTAAAGATAGCTGGAACAGCAGTTCTACCTGCCACATCAGCCATCCTCACCTTGCCGGCCTGCATGTTGCTTCTTCACACCTCTTTTAAAGGATCCCAGGTTATATAGAAGGTAAAGCCGTAACATTTTTAGTTAAAAATGGTTTTTCACATTTGGTTGATTCGTGTTGGCGCCTAGAGCACAGAATATACACTACGAGAGCGACCACTCCACTCATTTTCCCTAGGACCGGCGCTTGGTTTCTTAAAAACGTTTGTAACTATGAAAAGGTCATATTTAACCACAGTTTTTCTTGTGTCTCTTTTTACGCGTGTTTTGTACTAACGGTATATTCGAGATATCTCCTAGATACTCATAATAACTGACCATATGTATGCAGGTGTGTCCAGTTTCAATTACAGTAACAGCACTGGCAAAGTTCGTGGCGTTTAGATATGGTATTCTCAGTCTATCTGTAGTTATAATTAAAAATCAAGATAATAAACAAGGCAGTCATGGTTTTATAATCCAATTTTTCATGAAAACCGCTCAAAAATATATAAATCAAAATGAAAATAGGACTATGGAATGTGGCTAGTTCGGGCGATAATAATAATATAGTTTTAGCCCAAGAAACAGAGATCGCGTTTATAAATACTTGATCGTAATGCAAAATTTTACCACATTCTAGGTTTTTACAGCTGTTAGGGTAGGTCATAAGAAGCTTAAGTATAAAAACTCCTAACTTTTTGACAAAAAAAATATTGCAACTCTTACTGTTTTTTTTTTCAATTATTTTTGTTTATTTGACCATGTTTGTAGTTTTTCTATAAAACTTTAAAAATGCCATTAATTGATAAAAAACGTCGTATAAAAGTTATTCGTCATTAAATTTCCTACAATTTTTGTATAAAACTTTTTTTATTAAATAAATACTATTAATTATGAGTCGCTAACGTAGCAGTGACGCAGAATCTCAGGCTTCTTATGACCTACCCTAATATCTGTAAAAAGTGTGTTGTAAAATTTTGTTATTTGGTTTTACTCTATTGCTTGGGCTATTGTTCTTTTCCATTTCTTTTGTTTATTAACCAGTACATATTTATTAAAATTTTAACGCATATTAAAGCTTTCACAACTAAGTATTTACCTTCCAACATGATATTAATATTCCTGAATTTTGTATTCGCTCTTCAGTCCTTATTATGCGAAAAGGAAAAAGATTTAATTTACCGAGGTTTTCATTTCTCTTAGATGTGAAAATAAATTAAATTACTGTCTTTTGATGCAATCTAGTACCTGAGTGTAGCGAGTGAAGTAGCATTATCTTAAATATAAGAATAATACTGGATTTGGTATATAGTAATAAAAAAAGAACAGTGTACAGAAAGATTTCCCACTCGAATTGGAAGCCCATCTAGGGATGTAACCTCTGCTTTACTGATGAAGAAATTAAAAGGACACTAAATTTTTGGTGGGTGTAGGTCGTTAAGATTCTATGGCTACACGGGGTAGGGGATTGGGTCAGGGTAGGTAGGCAAAAGTGAGTGATATCTTTAGTATCGCAAGCTTTATAGGCTATGGTGGCCGCTTAAGACAAGCCATATGTATCACACATATGGCTTGTCTTAAGCCGTGAGCCAAAAATATGTGAAATTATTTTTTACTTCGAATTATTCATAGAAGAACTTGTGATACGTACTTGTTGTATAGTTCATGTGTATATATTTTCTCCACTTTCGCTTCGGGATACGGTGAATTCTTTTCAACACAGATGTTGTTTAGCTGTAGAATGTACTGGTCGGCATCTCCACGTACACAGTGTGCCGCTGTTAAAGCGAAGTCAGGGTTTATGATGGTGGCTCCACAAAGATGTTGATTACTGCTAGAGTTTCTAAGTGACACCACTCGCGGTTTTTCATCTGTTAGCGAAAATATCCAATTACTTACTTATCTTATTGAGGAGTTCGATGGCGCAAGTGATTAGTGCATATACTACCTCGAGTAGAGCTAATAGTTGTTCTTATTAGGTTAGCTACCCATAAAATGTGGTTATTAACGGTTACTTATCCGACTTCGACCTATAAAAATGTTTTTTTAAGTCATAGAACGTAAACGTAAAACAATTGACGAATCTTTAATATTAATAATACTAACTGATACCTAAAATAATAAGTTAAACTCAGTTTTTTGAAGGCAATTCGTAAAAGTCAGCTTTTTTCCAAAATTTGGTCAGTATTGTCAGGATCAATCACGCCGACCGCCGACAGGGTAGAATAAATTTTTGAATGTGTGAAGTGGGGAAGATTTTTTTTCATCCACTACCCTATCATGTGTGGTATCGTTGAATAATTCTTTTAAAACGACTTAGGGGTTGCTAGGTTTTTTTTTGATTTAGAAAAAAAATATTAATAAAACTTTAAAGTGCTAATTTTTGTTAGCGTAGGGCCTCCCCACTTCCCTAAAAGCTAAACTAGTAGATAGAAAAATCTGAAAAAAACATGTTACTAGTGCTTCCACCCCAAAACTCGCACTGCGCATTTCAATCCACTAGCGCCTTATTATAGTGGTGCTTGTTAACCGTATTAAGCCTAAAATGTGGTTAAATAAACGAAAAATGCATTTTTAACCACATGGTTAAAATCGATAATAAGCGTCTGTGTATCTAAAGTCGAGCTCCTCTGTGAATCGGAAAGCACTTTAGCCGTTGGTCCCAGCTACATCTGCAGTCGTTAGCACCCACCAATCCGCACTGAGCCCGTGTGGTGGGTCATGGCCCTATTCCATCCACTAAGCATGTATGATTCCATCTATAGGGAAGTCCTGTGCCTGTGCTCCAGCACTTATAGGTTAAATTAATAGGCTGATGATACAATATGGGTATCAAATTAAAGGTCTTGCTGAGAATAACTCTTGACGAGTATATTTTGTCTTTACATGGTATCTGTATGTATGTATGTATGTATGTATGTACATATGTACTTATGTATGTATGAATGTATGTACGTATGTGCATGTTTGTGTATTGGTATAAGCATTTGATATGATATCATATTGGTTTAGTTAGGGTTGTAGCATGAACTGGTTAATATTCTTTTGGCGGGATGTGCGTCAACAGCATTGGCGCTCTTTCTCGTTAATTGAATTAACCGAAAATATGCGAAAACAAGGTAGCACAACTTTTAAAGACCTCTTAAACGCATTAAGAGTTGGTGAACTTCAATCTGAACATTTTGCTATTTTAATGAATCGACTAAACAAAGAACCGCCAGGTGAATTTGCAATTGAAAAGGCCCTACGAATTTATCCCACTAACCAATAAGTGCATGACTATAACAAAAGTGTTCTCGAACATTTCCGGGCTCAAGGTATAACTATCTATAGGGATTTAAATAATATTATACCATCTGATATAAATACCAGATGATATAGACTGGAGGGCTTCCTAAGGAATTAGAAATATTTGTTGTGGCGAAGGTAATGTTACGGTACAATGTAGATGTATCCAAGGGTCTTGTGAATGGTGCAATCGGACATATAACAGAAATATTATGGCCTTGCTTCCGGAGAGCACAAATGTGACATACCTTCCGTCCGTATAGAGCTCGGTAAAAACGGCGTTCATCTCATTCAACCTAAGACTGTGCAATTTCCAGCAAATATAGTCACGGCACTGCAGAAAAGAGAATGTTACCAATTTTATATTATGTTGGGCTTGTACGGTACACAAAAAGGGTAGTACCGTCGACCATGGCGTTGTATACTTGGGCTCGAAGCTCTTTGTCGCTCGTCAAGCATATGTGGCCTTAAGTAGGGTGAAATCATTAGAGGGGCTCTTCTTTGAAGAGCTGGACTGTTCAAAATTAACTGGCAAACGACCTTGCAATAATATTGAGTTGAATGTCATGAACAGACTTAGGAACTTATCAGGTGAAAACTAAAAAGTATAAAATAAAATTAAGGTAAAAAACCTTTTTAACAACAAGCTTTTTAAATGCGCTAAAAAGAAAAAAAGAAACTTTTACACAAAAACTTTTACTGTAAACTTATAACGTCATTTCAAATTTAACACATTTGACACAAATTATGTTATAAAAGCTTATCACGAGATTTAAGTACTCGTATTTACTTGCTGCATTATAATTTTCAAAACTCTAAAAAGAATGTGACGTCACTTTTCATCTAATATGGCAGACTACTAAAACTCAAATATCAATTTTGAAACAGATATATATAAGCAACTGAGTTAAAATTTTGTATGCACAAACATACATTGCAAGTTAAATAAAAGCTTGTAAAAATCAGAGTATTTTTTCAATCCTAAATCCTTATTTCCATAGAGGAAAAGAATTTGACATTTTGAAATAGCATAAATAATATTAGTTCCTTTCTTATGTTTCGGTTCGGTTTCGGTATGCCAATGCCAACCAACATTCTTTATGGAAACATGTATTTATGTGTATAGAGGTGTGTTATATGCATGTATTAGAAATAAATAATTATCTGTTAATACCACACATGACAGGTGTTCCACCGACAATCCTTTTAATCCGCCCGCTATCAGAAAAATTAAAGCACTGATGTAATGTCATCACTATGAAAATATGCTTTAGTAGATTTTTACCAGACATTTTACACGCTTGCTATCACTTATTGTCACGCTATTAATGGTAGATTACTTTCATTGTGTATGGACAAAAGTAGAAATCGTGACAATGTGTGAGCAGGTGTTAATTGTAATTACTGAAGAGGAAACATGTAAAAACATTCCTTTTCACTAATTTGTAACTACGTAACGCATTGACTGAACAAACATCTAATCACAAGAAATATAAAGTCTTCAGACTTGAAATTTGGCACGATTGCCGTATGTTCGGGAAACTGAATTACATACAAAAGACCTCCGTAGTCGGTAGTATAGGTACTTACTTTAAATGTACTGGTATATTTTCGGGAAATGAAGTATGATGTAATATCACCATATCGATCCCGAATAATAAGTATTAAGCATAAGAAATATACTATTGAAAATGAAAAACTGACATATAAAACCAAAACCACATAAATTAAAAAAATAGTATTAAGCTCTGTTTAAATCTAAAAAACTCACATATTATTATAAAAGAAGCAAATTTGGAGTCAATGACATGCTATAAAACATAAATCGCATAGATCTGAGTTACCATTTACTATTTCAGTTAACGTCGCCTACAAATTACTTTTATTATATATTTTTATTTATGGTCTTTAGAATTTTATCTGAGTCTGGATATACTCAGATAAAATTCTATAATCTAGGTATAAATTATAAGCTTTGTCAACTTAACTCTTCCTACCCAACAACTATTGTCGTAATAGGACATTTCCATTCCATGCAAACTGACCAGCAAGATTGTTAGTTCTTGTCTAATATTGGGAGAGTAAGTTAAAATTGGTTCACTAATTTTGGTCGGAAAATTAACGTATTCTAAAAAAATCACGTCTGTTGTTTCGGAAACCCCCTTTAAATCTCTCATCATCAGCCTATTAATGCCCCCACTGCTGCAGCACAGGCCTTTCACTGTGGTTAAAAAAATGAAAAATAAAATAAATATTTCCAACACTTACACCAATTAGCCCCAAAGTAAGCATTGTAGACTTGTGTTATGGGATACTAGGGTAACGGATATAATACATATACTGATACCTTGTAAATAATCAAATACTGATACATATATAAGTATATATATAGAAATACATATTACACATCCATGACTGGAGTACAATTCCTCGTATTCATCACACAAATCTGCCCCGCCACTGGGGTTCGTACTGCGGACATCTCGAGTAAGAGACTCTTTCAAACCCGGCGTAGAGTTGTATGTAACTCGACCACAGAGGTCGTTATAAATATGATTTATTAGTGGTCCGCCCTCGCTTCGCTTCGGTGTAGAGCTGTAGTGTTGGCTATAGTGTTTGTTCTCAGGCTTGTATTATACACAATGACATTCTTCTAATACCTAATTACAATAGGCACGCGCCGCCGAGCTCCCTGCCCGGGAGCGTCGAAACCGCTATGTCCCTGCATTTTAAATCTGTAATATCTTCGAAAATATTAATTTAAATTACATGCGTTAAAGGGCCAAATTGGTCTATATTAAATGCAAAATGTATTAAAGGTACTTAATTGGATAACTATGAATGTTTTAATGCTGAAAATCGCTTCGTAAATAATCTACCATTTCTCGTAAAAAGTATAGGATAAAAAATGGTTATTGTGGGTTATCCCTAAGAGATAGACATATACCATCACGGACTTTTTTGTAGATCTTTTTAAGGTGTTCAATACTGTAGTACATTATTTTTATCTATCTCGTAGGGTTCAGCCAACGTTTGCAATGTAACTACAAAAAAATGTGTTTATTTACGACCTTACATTAAAAACCTCTAAAATTGAAAAAAACCTATTCAGTTCAATTCAGTGTTTCTCTACTATATTATGCATGTATTATGCATATAAACCTTCCTCTTGAATCACTCTATCTATTAAAAAAACCGCATCAAAATCCGTTGCGTAGTTTCAAAGATTTAAGCATACAAAATGACATAGGGACAGAGAAAGCGACTTTGTTTTATACTATCTAGTGATGACGATCTTCGTGGCCGTAGGATGGAATAGGGAGATTGGGCCATGGTCTACCACGCGGACCCAGTGCGGATTAATTGGTGATAACGACTGCAGATGCAGCCGGGGCCAACGGCTTAACGTGTCTTCCGAAGCACGGAGGAGCTCGAGATAGCTCTATGGTCACCCATCCAATGACCGACCACTGCGAAAGCTGCTTAATTTCAACGAAAGCAGCTGAACGCGCAAACTACTTGCGCCATCCAGTTCCCCTTAAATATCTATTTAATTTTAATTTTATAGTAACTCATAACTTTACATAAGTTTTCCTGTAATATGAAGTAAGAAAGTTAATAAAGCAACTTCGAAAAGCCAAGGCCATGGGCGATAACCACCTACGAGTAAGTCACCAACTGTCTAGCGCATTAAGATCGATCCTCAAATTGATTCAAGGAGTAAAGCTACAAATCACAAAAAATCGCGCTAATTTTAATAGAGCTAAACATGAAGTAGACTTTGACAAAAACCCTTTTCAATACTCATAAAATATTTTCAATGAACAAAACGGAAAGCTTCTCTTGACCAACAAACAGATATACGATCACTTTAAAAACACATATGAAGTGCCTAAGCGTGGAGATACTGTACGAGGATCCAAACGTCCAAAAACCTCACCATCCTCTTATAAATTTTCAAAGTAGTCCACCTACCCTAGAGGAAATAAACAATCAAATTACAAAGAAAACAACCAAATTAGCTCCGGGTCCTTGAGGGTATTCCTTATATAGTGTACAAAAAATGACCATCAGTATGTAAACATCTCTTAAACATATTCGGTAAAATCTGGTCAAGAAAGCAAATACCAACATCTTGAAAGGTTCGGTTCCCTTCGCCCCGTTATTTAGTTTTCCTCTTTTTTTAATGGGTTCTCTTTCTTTTGGTATGGCTTTATCGTGTTGAGAATATTTTTCACTTTTTACGATTCAAAGGGATTAATTACCCTGGTCTTAGAGCGACATTCTATATTTTTTAAAGTTTTGGAAATAAGGTGATATCTCTTTCTAACTGTTCTCAAGTAAAGATTAACACTTAGTTGTCATTTTGTAATACGGGCCTTAGTCAGTCAGAAGCCACACTTCTTCCAATTTAGGATGCTAATTAGGATCCTAACTTCCTAAATGCTGTTTCATTTGACTGAATTAGTTACTGAATGATTTAGAACGTCTGAATTTAAACAGGTGTAATAAGCGCTTTATGGCTATCACAAAAAGAGGTAAAACTCGTTGTCTTTTTTTTACCTTCTTCTTTCGAAGACTGTTAGGGTGTTTTAATATATTATTATTATTTAATATAACACAATTAAATAATAATAAAAGGTACAATTAGCTAAATTTTAATTTTCTCGTTTACCCCCAAAAGTAACCTCCAGGTATTTATTTACTTTATTTGTCCGTGTTTGGGTCACAGACCCAAATTTGTTTCATATATGTATATGAAACAAAAAACAACTTTGTTTTTCTCACCATTTTGTAAGAAAAAAAAATACTTAGGACTGTTGTATTTTTTTTAAGAAAACAAGCTGTGATAAGTTATTGTTTTATGGAGGTATATGTATCATAGAGGGTTCATAAGGGATGTAAGTTTGTATGGGAAACCAATCTTTACAAGCAGACAAAGTCACGGGTGTCCGCTGGTATAAAATAATATTTTTAATTTCGAACAGCAAAGATTCTGTTCTGTGGCACTTACCATTGACATCATCCGGTATTCTTGTGTAACGATATCATCAGCTTTAAAACCACTTAGTTCATCAAGCGTTTATACCCTTTGTTGTTCACATGATTCGGTTAATTCTCTTATCCTACTTAACGCTCGCTGAAGAGGACATTAATTATGTGTTCCAAATTTACAACATATCCTTTTTCAAAGTTATCGTTTGCAATCGGTAATATGGCTTTCATAAACACACGAACATGATTGATTTATGAACTAAAAATGTGCTCTAATACTACTGTAAAGAGAATCCTGTTTCAGTATTTGTAGCATGGACTAAATTGTACCTATTTGTAACAACATTATGTAGTATGTTAAGTAGTATCAATCTAAAAATCGGAGCAATTGATATACCTATAGTTTGTTGAACGTAACCGCACGTCGGCCGCGTCGTCTCTAACGTTACGTACGTTCGTTTATTAAAAAGTGATAAAAAATTAGCAACACTGACCGTTTCGAGTGCGCTTTAAATAGTGTTTCTATAATTATTGAGTGTTATTGTTGTGGGTTGCAAGTGATGCCAGAAGCGACAACAGACAGGTGGGAGCGGGCAGCGGGCAAGCGGGCAACAACAGCGCGTTTATGTAATGTAAGGGCGCTCTACAGGCGCGCGGCAGTGCTCAGCCGACCGCCGCCGCCGCGCCGAGCCGCGCCGCCCGCACCACCCGGACCATGGACGACGGGCCGCCCCCTCCCGCGCCCCACCAAACCGGCTTCGGAGCTTTCTGCAACGCCATCTCCGACACGCTCACGGTACGTACGCGTATCGCCACCGCCACCGCTACCGCCGACGGCCGACCGTCTCCGTTCTCTACCCGAGCGCCACCAGTTTTGGCGCCAGATCTCGCAACCGACCGACCTCCGATTCCGCTAATCCACGATATAAAACTTTAGTGTCACTAAATCTATTTCGGGGAGCACGTGGCCCGAGGTCGCTACCCGAGGTCTCTACCGTGCCGTCGTCGTCGAGGAATAGGAATAAAGTCGAATAAAAAATATAAACACGTTTATTATTAGAGCACTCGTTGAGGCCGGGTCGCACGGTAGTGATTTGTCCGATGGCTGTGATATACAGAAATACCCGCACATCAAACGGCTCTCGACGCGCGACGCACGAAGGCAACGCGACAACGCTCCTGCCATACTCGCCGCACGACCTCCCGCGACCGGCGACGCTCGCCTCGCACGCGACCTGACCGCTGCATTGCTCTCGAACCACAGGTAGATAACACCACCAACAGATACTTCACAGATTGTTGCGATTTCCAATTAGTAAATATAGTGAATCATCCAACCGCAGAACGTAAGGCCGAACAACAAACACGTGACGGTTTAATTAATATTTTTGTTGACAATGTGATTTGGGACTTAACTGTATATGCTTTCCGGTTTTTGTTATTTTAACGAAGAGTGTGATCTACGGGTTAATTAGTGTACCTACAGTTGAAGTGAAAGTGAGTGATAGAGTATAATTCAAAGTTGTCTTCTAATTGAAAAATTCATATCGTGTGCTTAATGGAAATGAATACAAAACATTTTATACGTTAATAAAGTTTATGTTGCACATGTAGCCTGCAGCCAGGGTTGGAATGTATACCATACAAATGCATATAAACCATTCGCAGCCGCGCCACTTGCAGCCGCTGTACATGCTGCATCCTGCAACCGAGATCAGAATAGTGCCTTTATTGATTTTAGAATTTTTGAAATCGACCCTAGCTTAAAGATTTTGTAGGATATAGTATATTGAAAAAGATGCAAAACGTAATAAATAAATAAACCAGTGCATCTATACCGTTGAAACTTCTTTTATTTAATGAGTGATGTGCGTGAAAAATAAAGAAACAAATAGGATAGAGTATGTTAAAGCTAATGTGAATTATATACATACATGTTACAAAAAATCATCTAAATATATTCTTATAATATTTTGAAGAATTGATATTAATAATAAATAAATATTTTATAAATATTTATATAATTAATAGAACAATTAATGACTTCATGATTTTTTATATTTATTAATTACAAAATCTATATATATAAAAATCAAGTGTGGTTCGTTTGTCACGCTCAAATTTGAGAACGACTGGGTCGATGTAGCTGATTTTGGTTTTGAAATGTTTGTCATAGTCCAGGGAAGGTTTTAAACGGTCAGAAAATATGAAAAAATTGCGAGGAAGATAGTAAAAAAACAACAATTTCATTTTCCCATATAAATTACTGTTCTACCTACTTTCCTGTCAACCTCTGAAAATGGCAATGCAATCAAAATTTTCAGGCATTTTGGGGAAGGGGGAGATTTTTTTAGCCGCAAGTGATGATACGAATAAATATGATCCGCTTCTTAGCCATTCTCACTGTACAAAAACACAACACTATCTAAAGTTGTGTTATTTTACTATGGACTATAACGTGGAGTTTACTTCACCAGATGGCCGCATCAACCCCGAAACTCACTATTATGTTGATATTTTGTCATTATAAATACACAGTTTAATGAAATATATGCATTATTATTGCTAAATAAGATTGGCTGTAAAATTATCTTCTACGTATAAAAATAAATCCCTATTAGCTATTTTTCTGAATCACGCCACAACTTGAGAACTACTATAACGATTAGGTACCTAAATCGATCCTTTTTTTAAGTTTTTAATATTTTCTAAAAGTCTTTAATGGAAGAAAAATGTTGTGGAACCATCTTATTTTTTTTTCGGAAAAGCGCGGATAACTTGAAATTTTAAGTTCAATTATCTAAGAACTCTACCCGATATACTCGGTTTAAGGTTTTTTATTTTTTTATCAAACAGGACAACGATAGTCGCTTTTGCTACAATAATTTTCAGATAAAAATAACTGTTTTGTAAATGAATGGATCACATTTATTTAGTACGTAGGTATGCGAGGACTAAGTGAGTATCGATAACATGGCTCTATGTTAAAATGTGAAATCGATTGTTCAACAATCACTGGATTTTATATTGTGTGCTTCATTTCATTAATAGTGTGTGTGTTTAACAATATAGAAGCCGGATCAACAAACCGATTCAATGAATAATTAACTCCTTCTTATTGCTCTATAGCTAATAGGTTCGAATCCGGGAATTTAAACCCGGTATAGTATTTGTTTCGATAGTTCTCGTGTTATGTTTACTCCATAATATTGTATAACTCAGTTAGATTGATCCTAATGGGTCTTCTGATTCTCGAAGCAAAGGTAATTTTTTTCGTCCCCTCAGCTCGCCTCCCCATCGTGAGAATAATCTTTTTAAATTTTGCCACTGCCCCCAAAAATTTTCACCCGGCCGGGTTTTAAGGTCTTGTCTACTCAGAGGTCTCACCAGTATTGCAAGTAGGTGCATAATCTGAATTATTACCGAAAAGTTCGGTTTTGGACTGCTTCGGTCCAGGAAACTCGGTCTTAGTTTCGGTTTCGGTCAAAAAATGCAGAAACTCAGCCGCGCCGAAACTCGAGTGTTCGTAAATTATCGTGCGTCGTCGTTCGGCGAAGTTCGCGTTTTCTGTTTCTGTTTCGGTCGGACGTTAATTAATATTGATGACCATATTGGAATGCAATTTATTGGACAATAAGAGCATGGGTAATTCGGAAAAAAATGCTAATGAATTGTTTTGTATTTTTTTTGTAGCTTTCATTTGATAAAACAAAAATAACTTGGTATTGGAGCGAAGCGTGATAATAATTATCATTTTTAATAGATCACTCTTTGTTTGTGAAGTGAACATCTAGTATATGGATGGATATCCTAATTGAATGTCAGGCGCAAACAGATGATTGCTGACCTGACAGGCGGCGCGCGCGGCGACAATGTTATTGCATAGCTTGTTAAATGACCACTTTTGTATCTATTCACGATGATAGGATAATAAGACGGACGTTATGTCTGACCACTTTATCATATAGGAACAGGCAAAAAAAAAAAGAAAACGCGGTGATTTGAAAAGTCGATCACTGAACGACTCGACTAATTTAAGAAATTCTCGGTTTGTTATACAGTTGAATAAATACTCGTAGAATCATCAAAATCGGACTACTCTGTTAAAAGTTATGCGTGATCATTTTTTTTCCGACTTCAAACAAAAAAGGTGAAGATTCTTTACTAATAAGTTAAGAAAAAACTCGACAAATATGTCGAGTTTATGTTTTTTAGGGTTCCGTTGTCTTGACAAGGATCACTTATAGTTTCGTCATGTCCGTCTGTCTGTCCGTCCCCGGTTTTGCTTGGAGAATGTTAGCATTAGGGAGCTATAAATTTCTGGAGATATGTATATTAATCATGCCGACAAAATAGTAGAAAAAACATTTTGAAAAATATATTTTTTAGGGAAGCTCCCTTAAATGTAACCTGGAGAAGATTTTATTTTCTCATCGTCTACCCCATCGTGTGGGGTATCCCTGAATAGGTACTTTAAAATAACTAAGGGGTTCCTAAGACTATTTTCCGATTTAGGGACCCGTTTGCGAAATATTGAACTTCAACGTGCTAATTTTTGTTCGTGTAGGGCGTCCCCCTCCTCTAAAATCTAAACTATTGTCTTAAAAAACCTGGAAAATTTCATGATAATAGTCTTTTTCATGAACTTCCAAGGAAAATTTTTAAGAGTAATTCGTTCAACTCATATATTAGAAAATTACTGGCCTAATCCTTGGAAGAAAACATTAAAAGTAGAGATGTAACGACTCGACTTTTCAAACCGGTTCAAACCGGTTTGAGCATAGACCTAGTTGCATCGGTTAACGTCTTCGTAAACCGGTTTATCGTGGCATTCGTTTGCAATGCGCTGCGCGCATGTCAATTCTTATTTATGCCGCCATCCACAAATCGCGCGCGGCTCCTGACGTGCTTTACCGACCGAACAAAATTGATCGACCAATACACACCGACTTACAGCAGCGGATACGTTTAGTGCAACAGCCATAACCGACTTACCGACCGAACCGAAGTGAAACGGACTCCGGTAGATTTGACTGATTTGACGGTGTAGTTTTGTTTTCATTATTATGTAATATGCGACGTAATCGCCTAGCTCCTAAAAAAGTAGACCAAATATTATTCCTAAATAGTTTATATATATTTTTTAGTATTTTTTTAAACACGGTATTACATAGATATCTGTTTTAAGTGATATTTTTTTATTTTGACATTTTTAATTCTGATTTTTCAATTACCTTTAAATATTTGCACGTTGTAATATCAACAAAATATGTAGAATAAAAAAAAATTAACACCTGTTGTTTCATAAGTTTCATTCGTCAACTCGTCAAACGGTTCAAACCGGTTCAAATCGCCGTTTACTGAAAATTTGGCGGTTCGGTTCGAAAACCGATTTGCATGTATTGCTAACCGATCAAATCCGGTTTGTCAAAATTAAAGACCGTAACATCGCTAATTAAAAGTGATTAGACGACGTAATTGCTTAAAATATAGACTCTTTCAAAAATATTTTGTTGTGACGACGATTAACTACGAAACCCTACACAGCGCGTGGCACGACACGCTCTTGACCGGTTTTAAATATTATTTCGCATTTCGACTGTAATAGCATAACTTTTAAAATTCGTTGGTGTTTTTATACACATTATAAACTTATTTTCGACTATTAAGTCTTATGTGATGAATTTTGATAAAATCTAAACACGTGTTAAAGTAAAAACACAATCTTGTTATACCTTTCTCACACAATTCAACTCCTAGTTTTCTTTTGCCCCTTCAATTGCGAAACTAGTAGAGCTAACACAGGGGATGAAAATATACTTAGTCGGTCCACACATGCGAATCTGCATGTGGAAAGTAATTGAATTAGAAAGCTTTTTTTGAAAACTGAATCATTAATACAGAGTCGTAACTCTCCAAACTAGAACTACTAAAGGACAGTAGATTCCTTTCATTTATGGCAGTAGTAGGAGTATTAGTGTCTTGTGTAATTTTATATGGACTCGCCACGTAGCGTGTGGCGGCCACTGGCGTTAACTGTGTGCGGCGAGTCCATATAAAATGAATGAACGCCGGTGGCGGCGTTTTGTGGTTGTGCCTTGACCACATATTCAGTAACGTTACAGGAGCCTCTGGTTCTCGAATCCCGCTCTGCCTCTCTGATCATGATACGGCCCAGATACTTACGTTCAATAGCAGAATCAAACCAAAAATAGACAAAGCAATGTTCACTTTCAAATTATGCTACTCACAGGAAAATATTGA